ATCGTTTATATATATATATATATATATATATATATATATATATATATATTTATGCATAAATAGGAACAATATAAACAGGAATGCATTATAAAATATGATGACTTTCTCACTCTCTCTATCTCTCTCTCTCTCTCTCACTCTCACTCTCACTCTCTCTCTCTCACGCTCTCTCTCTCTCTCTTTCTCTCTCCCTTGAACGACGCAGATTAAAATTTAAATGCAAAATCAAACCAATTATTTTCGACACAATGGTTAACTTGGCGTATAATGCCGTGCAATAAATTAAATAATGAGTAATCTGCATGAATTCAATGTAAAACAAACATTTCTCTATCACTTAACAGCTTTATAGACTTTGATAAATCTTTACAACATTCTTATATAAAAATTGCTTTTGGACTTACTTTTCAAATATATTCCTGAATTTTAAAATGAACTATTCTATCTTTTACCCCAGTAATAATTATTAATTCTCCAGGTGATACATAAGTACACAATCGAATTTAATTTTTCACTCGGACAGAAAGTCAAACGCTCGCTGGACAATGTATATAAGTTAGGAAAATTTTCCTCATTATTTCTGTTTTTTTTTTCTTTTAAAAATCTTGTGTCATTCGAAGCACGGCTACGAATGTTTTTCACAACCTTATCACAACCTTATTTAAGAGTGCTCCGACTACATGGTCGAACCTTAGATTTTTTCCTCTCAATGTGACCAATGGATTTTTACACCTTATTCGTTCAGATTGTTTATTTTATTTTAAAAGCTCTCACTCTTCTTCTTCTTCTTCTTCTTCTTCTTCTTCCTCTGCCTTTTTTTCTTTTTCTTTTTTTTTCTTTTTAACTACTCGTGCATGTTCATTTTATACTAAAATCCCTTGCAACTGTACGTCCCGAGAAAACTATTGCTGCGTCGTAATAAAGGTATACGTTTATATCCTAGGAAACTTTAAACGTGTCGGTTAAGTCCACAGCAATAGCCGAAGCACGACGGAAAAATTTACAAAACGATGTAGATTTTTTTATTTTCAAGCTTCAAGGGACCGACAATAAGTTAACTCAATTAAGTTTAACATTTTTAAAACTTTTCCTAAAAGAGCGGACGAAAAAAATTGAATTTGTGTAAAATTTAAGGATTATGTAGCTTAAAAAGATTTGGATAAACTTTGAAAACTCAGTAAAGAATGTCGTACTTCGCTACGATCAAAACGTTGGATGCTTATTCTAATACTGAAAAATTAATTTTATTAACACGCAACCTCGTAAGTTTTGATTATGAGCAATGACTCATATTTATAAAGTTTGTACGATCAAAAATTGATTTCTAGAAGTCTTTCGCGTCTAGAGAGAGAGGTGCAATAAATTTCGCCTAAATAGAAATGAGTTGAAAGTATAATTTTCACCTCAATGAAATTAATTCAATTGAAATTAAATGCTCGAAATAATACTGATGCGATAATAATTTGATTTGATGCGATATGTAACCTTATGAATTAGGTTGACTTTTAAAAATATGTATTTTTCAATATTTGAATAAGCACTTGGTTTCGATTCCAGGACCCTGTTTACCAATAAATAATAAAGGACTCGTTATACTAATCATTGTAATAACATTCGTGGGTCGATCGCTTCCATAGTTAAGCATAAAAGTACATGAATTATTTTCTTGTATTTCTCTGTCATAATCAGCGATTATATGCTACTCACAACCGTAAAGTGACGTTAACGAGCGACATTGGCATCATCATCCGAGTGTCGTCTCGCCGTATTTGTAATATATAATAATTAAATATTCAATTCGGTGAAAGGCGCTTGCGCGACGTTTAAAAATTCCGGCTACGCCGAGCTTTTTAATCTGCGATTGGTCTCTTTCCTATTCATACAGCTTTTCCATACTTAGTCTCATATTCCCTTCTATTCCCTTTTATTCATCTCCCTCTCCTTCCCTCTCGCTCACGCTCTCTCTCTCTCTCTCTCTCTCTCTCTGCCTCACTACCCCCCTCTAACTCACGGTCTGCCTCTTTCGCTATTTATCTCTCCCTGTCTCTCTCTCTCTCTCTCTCTCTCTCTCTCTATTCTATTGTTGTTCGGCATTAATGCTCGTTCTAATGCATCCTTGCGGGCATCGTTAAAATCTTCGAGTGTAATAACATTGCTTTCTCTGTCTTTCAGACGGAGAAGAAAGAAATTCGACCATTTCAATGTCAATTGGAATTAACGAGATAAGAACTTGAGAAAACAACTTTTACCGAGTTATCGAATGTTCCAACGACTCTTTTATCATTTTCCGCAAGATTAGAACTTATCAAAGAGACCGGAAGAGAAAGTCCTCGTTCTACCTTTTGTTTATACCAACTTTGCGTCTCTCCACCTCCTCATACACTCGTACACGCATCCACGCATGCACCCACGAGCACTCAATTTCAGACTCTCTTATTCACTCATTTAGTCGTTCACTTTCTCTCCTCAGCAGCTCGTCAATTACAAAGGAAATGTGGAAATGTGCAAAGTATAGGCATGATCTCGAGATTAATTAGCTCGCGCTCCGTGCCCTCGGCTACATCCTCAAAACTCAAGAGTAAGTTCTTCTCGTGTTGTTGCCGACGAGTGGATAGAAAAGGAGCAATCCTTGGAAAGGGACGAGGAGAGGGAGCGACGCAGCCCGCAGGTGTAATCTTCGAGGAGTACGCGCGAAGACGACGACGTCGCTTAAGAATCACGAGACCGCCTTCACCCGAGCAATACTGTGCGCTTTTTTTTTTTTGCTTCTTTAGAGTTTCGGTGAAGTGCGAGGCTTCTCATTTTGCGAGTCTACCTCACCGCAGCCCCTTTGCCCCCTCGAGAGCTGCCTTTTTGCTGTGTAGCGCAAGGAGTCTCGAATTGGTTCTTTCTCCCGAACAATGGGATTTGATCTCTGATTTAGCAGCTTAGAATAGGAAAAAAGATGGTGGAAGGTGGAGGATGGATGGCTGCTCGAGCGAGGAAAAGGAAGCTCTTTGGCCTCGAGCGAGTCTTCGTTTCGCATCTACCAGCCTCGGCTCTGGTCCCTGTACGTAGGGGAATGGGACAAGGACGAGCTGGCTGGGTGGGATATCGGGGAGGGGTGGATGGGAGGATGGGAAACGTAGTTCTCCGGCTCTGCTCTATCCGACGTCCGACTTGAGGCTCGAAAGAAGTTAAGCCGATCGAAGACAGCCGTTGGGAGATTAGCTTCGGCGAAAGTCCTCCGAGGAAATTCGCGCAGCCACCAAGGATGTTGTGCCCATAGATGTTTGTCGGAGCATTGTCGCCGGATTTACATTCACCTCTTGTTGTGATCGATCGACCAGGTGTGTCCGGGTGCAAGCTCGCCCGCAGTCTCCTCATGGTTGGATATGTAAAACATTCGAGACGTGTATTTGATGGGCTGTAAAGTTCCAACGTCCTCATAACCGCCACCGCCCTTTTCAATTAACAACGGAAGTCCAATGCGGCCATCCAATCAAGCGCTTCCACATTGTGTCTGTTGAATGGGAGGGAGCTCGGATCTTGGGAGCTGCTGTTCCCTTCATCCTTCCCGTCTCGGCCGTAAGGTATTGTGTATCCTTGCTGGAGCGGAACTTTCTCTTGGCTACGAGTGCAATGGCCGTCACTCGAAGCAACCACTTTATCACTTCGTCATATTTTATCATTCCAATTTCAGTTTTTGCACTTCTTCTGGCTATTATGTCTCTGATATTCCGTATCCAAAGAAAAAACGAACAAGACCAACAAAACAAACAAACAAAAAACAAAAAAAAAAAACAATGTCACTCGTGATTGTACCAGTCAAACTTCTCAGTTCAATGTATAGAAAGCTTTTTTTGCTTTTTAATTCTTGAGTTGTAAAGGTCTAATGGCTACTTGGCACTAAAGAACATTGATTTTTATTCGCAATTTTTGCCTAAAGAATATGGCGCTTAGCTTGGAATACCTAAGAGAGGCTGCGAATTGCCATTTGTTCGTCATTAGTATCCGAGCGTTCAATTAGTATTTATCAAACCATGTGAAAAATCAATTTATCTTAAATTTAACTTTGGTATGCTTGTTCCCATCGAGTCGTCGTCCATTTAAGTTTGCAAAAGTGACTTCGTATCTGTCAAATCTGATGAAATTTCTCCTTACTAAATGCCGTCTAGAGGAAAATTATAGGCTCTATTCTCCAAGATTTCTAAAGTCATATTCAGTATGCTCCTAGTACCTTGTATATATATATATATATATATATATGTGTGTGTGTGTGTGTGTGTGTGTGTCTGTGCGTATTTGTCTTACTCACTCTCCCTACATCATTCACCGCTTTCGGAACCTCGAGATCGCACAAGTAGGTCGACCGATTGCAATTATCGAGGTCCGCGCACAGCTCTACTCGCGTATGTGTGTCGCTCAATGCAACAGCTCCTTCGAGACGTTGGCACGTTCAATAATTCGCTACCTCCCTCTGCAGCTTGATAATAAGCAACAATAATATAACGATATGACAATGGAGGAGCATGGGATCGAGTTTCATTATACTCTTGAGCCCCCTACCTTGATGATAAGTAAGCACTGAATGGAAAGGATCGATGTCATTTGTGCTTTAAGGATGCAGCCTCGGACGGAAGACTCGTAAAGTACCAAAGATATAAGGCGTTTGAGAGAACCGTGAGCAGCCGGAGCAGAGAGATAATTTGATATTACTAAATTGGCAATAGAGAGGGTAGAGAGACAAAAAGATATAAAGCTAGAATGACAGATAGATATTGCTATAGATAAATACAGATAGATAGATTGTTAGATGGGCAAATAGGTATATGGGGCATTTTGAGGGGTTGGGGGTGGGGTGGGGTGGGAGAGAAGGAACGATGGAAAGGTAGTGAGTGAAAGAGATAGAGAGAGAGATAGATAGATAGATAGATAGAGATAGAGAGAGAGAGAGAGAGAGAGAGAGAGAGAGAGAGGGAGAGAGGGGTGGGAATGCATTGGGATGAAAAGACAAATATAGTATCGAAAGATCAGCCGATACGGCGATTACTTAGCCTTTAGCGTATATGCAAAAGCCGTCGGAAGGCTCGCCGATAATCGAGATTGAAGATGGTGTAGATGAGAGGATTGAGGGCGCTGTTTATGTATCCGAGCCAGGTGATAAAGTAGACGAGCCGTTCCGAGGGGCAGCAGCTCAAGCAGAACGGCAGGATGACGTACATGAGGAAGAAGGGCAGCCAGCAGACAACGAAAACGCCCATGATGACGCCGAGGGTACGGGCCGCTCGCCTCTCCTTGGACAGCGAGATCCTCTGACGTTCCTCGATAAATTGGTAAACGGTCGAGCTTGTAGCAGTCCCGGGGCCACCCCGCCTCGCGTGCCCCGAGCCCGAGCCCGAGCTGCTTCCGCCACCTGCAACATAAACGCGTCTTTGCTCAATTTCATTTTATCTAATGATTACAAGATTAGCATTAGTGGCTGATCCCAATATATTAACCGTTCCCAACAACATTCGCTCTTTCTCTCTCTCTCTCTCTCTCTCTCTCTCTCTCTCTCCGTCTAACTTTCTATCAAGTCATCTACCCGTCCATACACTTCCCTTCCACGCTTTCGCACAAAATCTTTAATGATCTAGTTAGCAATTTTTAATAATAATTAACTAATTAGCTAATTAAATAGATAAGTGATAAAGTTTTGTGTGTGTGTGTGTGTGTGTGTGTGTGCGCGCGCGCGCGCGCGCGCGTGAGTGAGTGAGTGGGTGAATGAGAGAATGCGAGTGGAAGTGGTTGGGGGTGGGGGAATAACGAGTCACAAAGCGAGCGAAAGAGTAGGTAAGCTTTGGGAATAGAATGAAGAAGACAAGAATAGCAAAAGTTGGACTACGAGAGTCATAAGGGGGTGAAATTAGGAGACAAAGATAGAGAGAACAAGTTGGCGAGAGATTTTGTTAACGAAAGTTTTGAATTACAAATTTGATGAAAGGCACTTTGATTTAGAATTCTATTTTGAATTATTAATATTTAAGGTGTCGTTATTACTCAACATACAAAATCACCTTGACAATTCGACATTTATAGTCTAAGATGTCAAACATTTTTAATAGAATGTAATTAAATAATGTAAAAAAATAGCTTTCTTTTTATACTATGACGCTTTATCGTTGCATTTGTTAATTTTTCAATAATACAGAAATAATTATTAGTAATGTTAAAATTGACTGAAAAATATGCAACTTATCAGTATAAAAGTTTGCATTGCAATTCGACGACGTCAGTGTTGCACTATGATGAATCAATATTTTAAAAAATTTGCTTCAATTTCAAATGATATAATTTAAATTCTCTTTATTGAATTAAAAGTGGGTATTCAAAGGATTCAGTGCGTATTTTAAACACGCATCAATAACATTTATGTATTGAATTATTTAAAATAAAATTGTAAAAAAAAAAAAAGAATGAAAGAAAAAGCACCAAACAAACGAAAAAGAAAAAAACCTGTACAATGCACGATAATTCAAAATGAAAATATGTGCATTTTTCAGCCGGAGATTGGCAAATTTCCCGAAGCACGAAATATTTGCATATCAGAAGTAATATATTCTTAGGGATATGGCTGTATTGCAAACAACATTACCCAAAAGTTTTCGAACGACTTCCGATGTGGGCAAAAATTTTCAGTATTGGAGGGAGAAGCGCAAAGATGCCAAAAAAAAAAAAAAAAAAAAAAAAAAAAAAAAAAAAAAAAAAAAAAAAAAAAAAAAAAAAAAAAAAAAAATTTTTTTAGG